AGACTCTTGCTCCAGTGGTCGCATCTCCTTCTTCTGAATTTGATTCTAGCGATTGTGAGCGTCTTTACTCAAACACTGATGATGGTTCTAGATTGAAACCAAGTGGGGCAGGCGAACTCCCAGCAATCAGATCAACAAAACGCTATTTCCACCCATATTTTCTTTATGCTACTTGAATGCTTATAATTGGATTTTTTAATGCATAATTTACGTCTTTTCACGTTTCAGCTCCGCCCCATGCTGCCCAATGTCTCGCTAAGCAATGTTTCCCTCTGAGTGACAAACAGACCGTAAAACTGGACATTTTTAAAAACTTAGCATTTTGTGTTAGAAATAGTTTCAAAGGAAGCAAACAAATGCTCGCAATTCTCTGTTTTTGTTTCCTTCGCTGGATCTTTCCTCGTCGGGGTGGAAACGGTGACGTGAAACCATTAGGGTCAATTTTCGTATACACCTGGGCTTTGCTTGTATAGGCGTGTAAATGTAAGTAAGCTTGTACAGATATCTACTTTTCCCTGATGTACCACCCGGTTGCATTTTATTCACATCAAAGCAACCTTTTTCAATCAATGTTAATGGCACTGATTCCATTTTAACACGTACTTAGGTAATAAACTCGGACCTTCGCCTATCTTGATGACCTCTAGATTTGCTAGCTCTGTATGTTTTTGTCAGTGCTAAGCCACGCCGTGTCCGGAGTCGGTGAATAGGCGTTCGGAAAATTTTTATACATATCATCTTAACAACACCGGGCGGTTTCCACTTTCAACCAAACAGAAGTGATGTACAACTTCCATCTATGATGATCGGAAATGTGCCTGGTCGTTGTGAAGTGCCGTCGTATTGAGTAAACGAAGATGAGAAATTGGTGACAGGAGAAAGAATAATTGGATAAAACTAATAGAGCATTTAGAGACAGAGGCGACAGGCTAATGGCCGATCACACCCATACGGACACTCACCTTGATGTACGAGTTTAAAGAATGTAGTCGGTCAACGGTGTACCCTTAGTCGAGACTGTTAGGCTTCCCTTCATGGTCATTACTCGAACGTCAGTTTTGGGCTGGACATCTTGACACAGCGGTCGTAAGGCAGAAGAATATGACCCTCCATCCTCGGAAGCATCATCCTTTGGCTGCCACGGCAGGGAACGCCTGAAGTTGTTTACCGGATCTGGTGTGGCTGTAGATCCGGGATCGGCAAACTATGGTTCGCGAGCCAGTTGTGGCTCTTTTGGTGATTGCGTCTGGCTCTTTCGGAGGTGCTGCTACTGAGACGCGTATTATAATCTCTGGTGTTTCGATCCCCCTAGGTCTGGCCTAGCAGTTGTTTCAGTGCTCCCTTTCCGGCTAGCCGACAGCAGCTGCTTCCCTTTTCTTCTGCGTTCCAACGGCCGCGACAAGCTCACTAAATAACAGACACTCTACTAAAGTATGACTCTCCAGACTTGACCTCAGCTTAGTCAAGGTCACGCTGGCAGACAAGGCTATCTTACGCGCATAGGCCAGCCCGCCCTGTCACTTATAGTCCCTTGTGTTTATGTCTCCCAGACGGAGGCATTTATCACACGCAAGCAAACAGTCTATTCGCGGGAACTTGCCTTGTGTACTAATAAATCGCTCCTAACGTCTGACTGCTTCCTTTCATCAGACGAAATACTCTTGGTGGTTATAGTAGGTCACACATCCTTGGCCGCCACACTCTCTTCCTCTCATTTTCCCAAAGCTAACCCTATCGCAGGGGGTGTAGTAAGTTAAACCCTAGCAACTGCGATCATCAGACCGTGGTTACTTAGGGGAAGACGTCTTCGGGAGGCCAGAGTGTTAGGAACAGTATATTGTGTACACAGAGGAACGAAGAATAGATGGAAAGGGATTTGACTTGGAGAGCCTACGACCAGCCAGGAGGGCTAGCCGGTCCAAGTGCTGGTTTGGCAGCAGTCACGCGAGCAGTTTTGCTATTCGTCACCTGGCCAGAAAGCAGTTTTTGCGGCAACTGTGATTGGCTGATCCAGGCGTCGAGAGCCGCAGTCGTGAGATTCCAGTGAAGTTCACTTCGGCGCGAGCTAGTCACAACAACCTCTTCGACAAAGAAGATGACGAAACGAAAAAGAGATGAGGAGTATCGTGCATGTCAGGACAAATGGACCGAAGAATTTTCCTTTGTGGAGGGAGCAGGTTATGCGTTGTGCCTAATTTTCAATGACAAGATTACATCGATGAAACAGTCGAATGTAAAGCGCCACTTCAACACGCGCCATGATACGTTTGCATCAAAATACTCTGCGGGAGATAGCGGAGAGAAGGCATATCAAGAGCTAATGAGCAGAGTGCAAGCCAGCCAGCAGCATCTCCGCGTATGGACCCAGCAAGGTGACTATAACTCCGCTAGCTTTGCTAGATCTTTAGCAATAGTGAGGAACGGAAAACCATTCACAGATGGCGGGTATGCTAAAACGTTCATGATGGATGTTGCCAATAAACCCTTTGATGATCTTCCGAACAAAGACAAGATAATCAAACGGATAAAAGACATGC